CAAAATCGACCGTTTTTACCGATTGGGCATGCTTTTTGGCGAAGTTTTCCCCCAAAATTCCCGTGAAATTGGCCGATTTTTTCGCGAATTTGTCCCTAAAAATCTAGCGAAATTTGACTTTTTTCCGCGACCTATCAGAAGCCCTGAATATTATGGCGTGATCCATCACATTTGAAAATATCATGGATAGAAGTCGGTATACATTTGGAGGTAAACTGGCTTTGTTTATGCGATTTGGCACATTTTCTATGATGAAAGCAAAGCAAGATAATATGAAATGCTTGTTTTAACTTTACTCTTTTAATTCAAATCTAAAGCGTAGAGAAATCTGGTCGCCACTTTGGCGACTAAACCAGAATTTTTAGTCGCCAAGGAGAAAATGTTAGTCGCATTGGCGACCGTATCAGTCGCAATTTCGAGCCCTGAATTGTTAACAAAAAAGTAACTGCCTGGCAGGTTAGGGCAGGGCAGGGAAGATTCTTTCAAAAGTATACCATGAGTTCCACAACATACCTCGCAAACCCAACTACACACACTCCCCACCCCCTCCAAATATTTTAATTGCTTTGCTAAGGTTCAAAAGGAAGCAAGGGTCCTGAAAACCTACCAGCAAATGCATGAACAAAAAAAAAAGATTCACAACACACCTTGGATGTTTATGAGAGGCGGAATCTGAACTTCCAAGACCAAGCTGTCCTTTGGTGTTGTCACCCCAAGCAAAGACAAGTCCTTTGTTAGTGACAGCTAAAGTGTGCATCTGCCCACAGGCTACTTGTTTAATGGTCCAAGTCTCAAGAGAATCAACCCGAGCTGTAGAACAAAATTAAACGATAAACTGGTGTTCAATAAACAAGTGTGAAAAAAATCACTAGAGAATGATATATAAACAAAAACAATAACAATTTGCTATTTACATTTAAAGATCAATAGTACTTTACAATATTATTGTTCAAATATCTATGAAATGTGAAAATAGTCAACCGTAAAGCTGATAACAAAAAATAAACACATGCCTAATAATATAACAACTCATAACTAGTATTAAAATCACATAATGATATATTGCAAATTAAAATTCACTTCTCAAAAAAATTGCATAAAAAGGAATGTTCTGGTTGAGTTCTTAAAATTCCCAGAGAATTTATATTAAGAAGTTGTAAAGGCAGCTCATTCCATAAATGTGGCACTGCTGCCTGAAATGCATGCTTTCCGAGTTTTTCTAGCATCTTACCTTTAGTTGGCTGTAATAAAATACCCAAGTTGGATCTCAGATTATAGCAGGACTTGCATTTAAAGGCTAGACTGCCTATTTACAACTTACAAAACAAATCACTTAATTACTGGTCCCTAGCTACAAACTAGTCAAGTTTGTTTCCCCCAAAATAATGTTTTTAACATTGTAGTTAGAGTCAGGAAACAAAACTAAATGTTTCCCTCAGGACCTAAAATCCACACACATACCGTAAAATTCCGAAAATAAGCCCCTCCAAATATAAGCCCCCTAAACCGGTAACGCAAAAACCCCTCCGTTAAATCGCCCCTCCAAATATAAGCCCCTCGGGGGCTTGTACTTGGAAAATTGCCCTCAAATACAAAGTAAAACAAAGCAAAAACGGTAAGTTTACTTCCAACTATAAGGCTAGCCCAATCGATTTTGAAACGCAAATTTGCCTCCGTAGATAAGCCCCTCCAAAAACAAGCCCCTCAAAAAGGGCCTTTGGAAAATATAAGCCCCGGGGCTTATTTTCGGAATTTTACGGTATTCTCCAAACCGATGTCCATACATTTTTCTTTTAATGAATTAATTAAGAGAATTTGATAAAAGATCAAAACATTTTCCCCTAGTTGATATTTTGCTAATTCTCGAATATAATTTGTTCTTTTGACTAAAAATGTTATGAATTTTAAGAAAATTGATACTTTCACTGTTGGGACTTGTTGAACTGAAGGGTTAAGCGTTTAATATCCTGCACGTACGTTTAGTAAAAATTTACTGACCATTCTCATCGTCATAACCAATTTCTGCAAGTACCTATCCGTAAAAATATTTGATCAATGTATTAAAACTATCGTGCGTTTTTCTGTTGGGTAACAGTGTACACTAACTTCTAGTTATTTGCGGTTCAAATTATCACTTAAGCTAATTACGCAATACTTCAAAAAATCAAAATTTCTCAGTGCGTTGTAAATATTCTAATTAAACACTGAAACGTCCCCTGCACTGTAAACAACGTCCTTCTAGGAATTACATTGTATACTAACCTAATTTATTTCCTTCTCTGTGATGTCCAAGTTGTCCATTTTCTCTGTTACCACAGGTGTAAACAACACCGTCGTTTTATAAAACAGCTGTGTGCTCCCAGCCACATGCAATGTCTTTAACTTCTGATAGCGAGCCAAAACTGACATCGACATTTCGCAGTGTCAAGACTGGCTCGTCTTCCGTTTCCGCTAATCCAGGCTGTCCTTCCGCGATTTTCCCCCAACAAAACATAATCACGTCTTTTTTCTCATAAGTGTAGAGTTCTACCGTTTATATTTCCGTAACCATGAGGCTCCCCGCTCGGCAGCCTAGCCTGCAGAGGACTCAGAAAGCTGACGGAAACTTCCTTTTTCGCTACTTTCCGCCATATTGTTTCCTTCTTCCAGAAAGAAACTAGCCCCAGTCGATAACGGGGGTAGGAAAGTCACGTCATCTCAACTTTCGTGACTTCGAAAAACAAAAATGGCCCTATTGTTAGCTTGGGAGGCCTGTGATAAAATGAGTTATACGAGGAAAAATAAGACGCGAACTGTACCATTTATACGAGCATGTCTTATCTAATAAGACGCGTCTTAGCTAAGCCGCGTCTTGTTTTAGACGAAATGTGCCGTTTATACGGAAAGTTTGCGTCTTATTTAAGACGCGTCTTATGTAACTGACGCGTCTTATTTTTCCTCGTATAAATGGCCCTAATGTAGCATACGGTAGTCGACAGTTGAGGCCTTGTACGTATGGGAAATAAATTACTGAGGTCTGCAAACGCTATATATCGTTGTATTTTACCTTTGGATCAATATGTATGTAGACCTGGGCCCAGTTGCTCGAAGCATGGTTAGCGTTAACCAGCGTTTAATACCTTGACAACGTAATGGTTTTGATACCGCTTAACCAATGGTTAAAGCTAACCTTGCTTTGAGCAACTCAGCCCTGGGTGAGAGGAGACAAAGCAGAGCAAAGGTTCTTGTCTGAGGAAACAACCTGACGGTCTTTTCTTTTTGTTTTTTGCTTTTTGGTAGTTGCTTATTTACAATCTTCGTTCTCGTGAATCGAATACTCGTTTAATTAACTTTTCCCGAAAAATATCATTACTTAAAATTGGTCCCCCTCCTCGATTTCTTTAATGTTGAGGAAATAACATGTTACAGTGGAACTCCATTGATCAAGGGCTCTTTCCATTCAACACAAAATTTCGGAAATTTCGTATGCTACATCAAATGGAACGGACAAATTTCGGTTTGGTCCGACCGGAATATTCGGGACCAGCTTTGATGGTGGTGTCCACTTTGACCGGTCTGGTCATTTCGGACAGTCAGACCGAAATGTCCCTTTCCATTTGACGTAATTCTTGTCCCCAGTACCGCTCTTTTATATCCCTCTTTCAAGAACGATTAGACTTCGAGCAGTCTCTCTTTTGCTCGAAAATCTTGAAGCGACAATATTTGAGCAAAAGAGTCGCGCGCTTTGCGAACTTGCCCCCACGCAACTCGCGTTACCTCGCTGTTAAAATCCTCTCGCTAACCAACGCGCGCAACCAGAATGTACCGTTCCATTGGGCACGTAAAATTTCCGAAATTTCAAACCGGAATTTTTGTTGAACGGAAAGCGCCCAAGGTCACTAATGGTCAAAAAAGTTTGACGGTATAAACAGCGTGGCCGTATTACCACGGCAGTGTAAGTTCTTGAGTTAAGGTGATGATACATGGCTGCATGGAATGACAAATGCATCATACACCCTGCATTGACGTGCGTCTGCATTCGCACTTCCTGAACAACTATTTTCTCTAACAAACAATTAGCCAAACCGGAATATAGATACCGCTACAGTAATTGCAAAAACTACTTGTAACTTCTCTTAAGTAAATAAAACACTTATAGTAAAAATGGGCCATTAAACCACCAAAAATACATTTTAGTGAAGTCTAAAGGCAATGCAGGAACAGCCTTTAGCTTGCTAGTGAAATTGCGGCTTGTCGCAGGCATTTCAATCTTCTAAATTTCCAATGAGAGGCTTTATTTACGGGGTGAAATTTTAAAAGAATCTACTGCTTGGGATTGAAAAATGTGGCCTTTGGCCTTTCAATGGCTGACTTCATTAACAAAAGTTTTTTTAAAAAGAAACTCGAAAATGTATGGCCGTTTTGCCGGGCCAAAAGAATTGGCCGTAATATAGAGGTGATCGTATTGTTAGGATTCGTTCGCTGTAACGAGATTTCGTTATATCGAGGTTCTTTTTCATATATCTTATTATATCTGAGGTAAGAAAATTGTTCCTTGTACCGAGAACTTTGTTATATCGAGGTTCCGCTGTGCTGATAAACAACATAGGCGCCTTGTCACGCTGCAAACCAAGAATACCTGCATCGCGGCTTTTTTTATTTTTTTACCTATACTTTATTTTGACTTACTTTATTTAGTTTTTTTTTCTTTCTATCTTATTATTATTATTATTATATTTTTTTTTGAAATGCAATTACTAGTCCCAATCTTGTCCGAAGTGTTTCGTACCGTAATTAATAGCATTCGCCATTTTCGAACCGAGATGGGAACTAGAGTCGCAATGTATCCCGTAATTCAGATTCAGTTTCTTGATGGTTTACGGAATCGTTTACAGGGGACGTGTCGGTCAGCTATTGGCCAATTTTTTTCCATCTCTTCGGTAACAGTTCCAGAAGCCTTTGCGAAACCAGTTCACACGGCCCTGTTCCCTTCTCATTTTTTAAAGGGACCTACGTTTTAATCAGTCACGTGAGAGTGCCGTCTGAGTGGGATTGGTTAATGGAAATGTTGGATTTACTATATTTCTTGTTCGACGACTAAAACAGCAGATCATACTTTTGAACTTCCTTCTGAATCGCTGGTTGACCAAAGCATACACAATCGGATTGATAGCGGAATTGAACAAAATCAATGTGTTGGTTAGCGCCACTGGAAGGGAAGTGCGTACGACAGAAAAATCGGACAGAATAAAGTTAGAGGCGTCTGTAAGCCAGCAAACAGCAAATACCACACTGACAATTAAAACCATTAAGGTCACTCGCTTTCTTATCTTCATCACACCCTGCAAAAGAGAGACAAATTGTCAGAATTGTCATTGTCTCGAAATCATCTAATAAAAGTTATTTGTAAGACGTAAGCGTCATACAGTGCTCGTTTTCTTTATAGTAGATGGGAGCTTATTAGAAGCTACGGGCTGATAATTATTGGCGCCTTATTCTAAGAGGCTAATTTAATAGAATGGCAGGAGGCTTGAATTAGAGCCTGTGGCAAAATGGAGCAAATGCACTGGTCAGTTCCATAAAAAAATTATCCTTGATCGATCCAGTAACACCTCTAGCCTTTCGTAGCGATGCAGTTAAATTAGAGAACTTTAGATTCGAGGAAGAGGGAGACAACGAGAACGAGATTTAACTTAAATGTCATCTTAAAAACCAGGCACCGCAGAGAGCGTTATTTATTTATTTTTTTCACCAGAATAGTTTCACGGCTATGTTTATTGAGGAAGTTAATCCCTCTCCAGATCGCAAACTTTTAAAACTTCTAGCATTTTGATAACTTGTTTCCGTCACTACATCAGTTTTCGCTAAAACCTGTAGTACAATGATGAAGGCTATCACCTTTTCCCGCCAAAATGACCCTGGTTCAAGCGCGCGCACTACTTAATAGTACTGAGAAAAGCTGGCGGGAACTCGTGGTTGTCCTCGTCTTAAGACGAGGACAACCACGAGTAAGCTTAGAATCTAAAGCTCTAAACAGATGAAAACAGGACAATATGACCATGTTTCCAAACCTGTTGTCTGACACTGTTTTCAGTAGAATTCTCGCTTTTAAACCATAAAGCGTACACGACTCGGGCGTAAAGGGTAGCCATCAAACAGACTGGGAAAAATGCTACGAACAGAAACCAAGTTGAACTATACACTCGGTTCATCCATTCATCGGGACATATGTGAGCACAGGCTTTCTCTTCGTTTACGTTATCACACAGGATCCCCACGATATTGATTACAACTCCAAAGATCCAAGAACAGGAAATTATCACCTGAAATAACACAAGGAAGACGATTGGTGCTGTTTTCTACCCAGCTGAAATTTTGAGGCGGGTAATAAGCTGATCATTATAAATTATGAGTTACATTCCCCTAAAGGTTGACAAGTTCAGCAAAACCAAACACGAATTTTGTTCATAGATATATAGTTTATAGATACCGGTGTCTCTCAGAACGTTGCAAAGCTCGGAGGAAAAGGCCAGCAATAGTATATCTTGGATGATCGTTCGTCCAAGGCCCGAACTGATAAACAAACTAGTAAGACAAACCCATGAACGGCATCTTCTTGAAGGTTTGGTCAGATACTGGTATACATTCTTAATGAAATACAAACGTGTTCCTCACCCGGGGGGAGGTCCTCCCAGTAATGACTCATACGGGGAGGTTCCGACCGAAAGGGGTACCTCAGTTAATCAGGCTTCAGCATATGAAAAGGTAGGGAACTCGCTAGTAAAAGTATAGAATTCTGTCACTTTGGTCTGAAAAAAGGGCCAAAAGGACCAAGAGATGCATTTTATGGCTTTGAGAAGGTCGTGAAAACTTTTTGAGACAGTGCATTTAGCAGTATTTAAAAGCTAGGGGTGCAAAGGTTCTAAACCAGGTATGTGGAAGGGGTACCATTTGTCATTAGAAAGTACACGAAAGGAGTGCCTTTTCCGTCTGTCAAAATGGTACATAAAAAGGTAAGGGCAGGATGGACGTCGGGTGGTGTCTCCCCGTATAAAGCTTTGTTGAGTCCCCCGATTCTTCATCACAGTAATGATCGACGCCTCTCAAAGGACATCATCTTGATAATGAACTTAGAAAAAGACGGATGCAAGTTCACCTTAACTTTGTTCTTTGTAAGTTTTCCCTTGGTTCCATGAGGATGTAGCACTGCATAATAGCGCTCAAAAGCGGTGCTAACCAAGGTGACGACCGAAGAGGAAGCTCCAACCCAGGCGAGGTTTCCGCTCGTCAATAGTTTGCATAAAAGTAATCCACCTGCTCCATCTGGATGAGTTATAGAGTGGATGAAGAGATACCTTGGTGCAAAGAACGTTGCTACAGCCATGTCAGCAATGGCAAGATTCATGAGAAGAAAGTTGACTGGCGTCCTTTGGGATAAATGCACAGTGTATATTTTGACTTAAGGTACGGTAAAACAAGTAACAAAAAACGTACATCTTGTTTTGCGAATTAGCTTCAAAACAAGTTGAATAGCGATGTTGCGCGTTTTACCACCCACGTACGGTAAAAGAATCCTTGCAGACTGATTTGTTGCAAGGCAGGTTCGAAGGTGGTTGGTAAAACGCGCAACATCACTATTCAATTCGTTTTTTAGCAGTATTGCAAAACTACTTACAGGTTTTTTGTTGCCCGTTTTAACGTAGCCTAACTGATAAGATGCAGCATTTTTACAAACTTTACAGTGATGGATAAGCAAGACATTTGCGTTATTTTTATTTATTATATTTATTTATTTAGCTTCGACTAACAAGAATACAATCTTTATACATAATACATAAAAATTATTAGGCAGGGAGACCACTACAGCTTAACCAATTACAGTGGAGCCCTCGTTAAAATAATTATAATAATAATAAAAGCTCGAAGACATACTATATAAAAAAGGCGGCTATAGGAGGTATAAAGTCCCGTCAATCTCGTTTCTGGGGTTATATCCCGCCTATCTCATTTTTTAAGGGAAGAGGCCCCGGGAAAGAACTTCTGCGTCGGATGCTATTTCCGAGTTGCCCCATGCCTCTGTTTCAAAGCGAGGCTACTTACGAAGCCATTTATATGAAATGATTTTTTCTTATTCTCATGCAAATAAAACCCATTTTCGCAAGAAATGTTTTGCACTTATCGTCGGTTTGAAAGTGAGGCTTTTTGGAACCTGGAAATGGCCATGTGATTATTTCCCGTTATCTTTGTTAGTTAGTCGAAAAGGATCGCAATCGGAAGAAACCAAACAGTTTTCCAAGGTTCATCTTTGTTGTTTGTAGCTTTACATCTTATAATACTAGGAGACATTCTTGATGGTTACGGTCAGGAAACGGTGAGTTTGTCATTTACAAGTTTTTCGCTAGAGTCGAGTTAGTGGCAAAACTAAACAGTTTCAATGGACTGGAGTACCGGAGTCCCTGGGCATGGACATGAAACTGACTGTTTGATTTCTGTTACATAATTATAATCTCAGAGATAATTGCTACTGTTGGACCTGTTGGCATTTTATTGTTTATGTTGCAGGTACATTTCATTTAAGCCTTGAGTGATTTTTGCTGGGGATAAGTTACATTAACATGTTAAAATAAAAAAGGGAATATCTTTTTTTCCACTTACTTTTTCATTTCTTTCGATTTCTAAGCCCAGAAACGTTGTAATCATTATTATAAGGATAATTGTAGTTCAGTCGTGAAATCTAAGATCGAAATCTCGTTAATGCTAAGAGTGTCCTAATTTGAATTTAATTCCCATACGATTTTAAAAGCGTAGCATGCTGAGATAGAAATAAATTATAGATTTTTTTTTTCTCTTTCGCCAAAGAGATAACCTCAATAAACGTATCCTGGAAGGGTGAGGCATTATATCTTTTATACCCTACTGCAAAATCATTTATGGTGTAGATAAAGAGGCAGAGTCATAACAAATTTTATATATGGCGTGCACTTTATGGTACGGTTTTTCGCAGGAGCTTTGTAAATCAAAGACGGCTGATTTTATTCAGCTTTTTTGCGTTATAGGTAATATCTTCCCCCTAAACCAAGTTTGGCATTTCTTTCCCTCTCCAGTCCTTCTTTTAAATTTGTTGAAAGCGCAATATCATGATAAACTGGAGGGTATATTTTGTACTTCGGAACGAATTGTTATTGTTTAGTTGCATACAATGTGTTTGCCGCCTTACCTCATATCCTTTTCCTTTACTATAATGACACACACCAGAACGTTTCCGATGATGTTTACAATGACAAGAATGCCCTGCGCTGTTTTGACTACGGTTTCAGATACTCCAAAGTCCTGATAGGTAGACGACATTTCATGAACGATATCTGGGGTATCAAGTTGATGATTCAGTTCCGTCTTGCAGTCCTCAAGTGGTCAGGCCGGTATAGACGATTGTCAGATCAAGAGTTTTCTCTCTAAGAAGTAACGCATACCGAAATTCCTTAAACAATAATCATCTGTGGCAAAAATTAATAATGATATGAATTAAAATGTGAAACGTTATTGCTTATGAAAGATATATGGCATATCACGTGACAGCTTCCTCGAACCAATGAAGTGATTTAGAAATTGATGGTTTGTGGTCCATTTGACTGGAAAACAATCTGAAGCTGTAATATGATAAGGGAAAACTGAACCAAGACAAAACGGTCTGAAACCTGTAGACCCAAGAAAGTGTCAATAAATTAAAAGGTACCAGCAAATCATTTTGACGGTAAACTTACAAAACACCTGAGCTGGTTTTATTTCCCATGAATTGGAATTTATAAATTATGGTTTTCGAGCAACGGGAAAAATCGTGGCACCCGAAGAAAATTCGCTCGTCCCGGAGTTGACATCTGTCAAAAACCTACACCTAAGTAGGATTTCCTTCAAACAAAGTTAAAATTACATTATTGCAAAAACTTCTTGCTGACAATGAAGAAATGAATTTTTTGTACGAAAACAACCTACCTAAAGATCTTAAAAGCAAAAGATCAGTTGCAGTGAGCTTCGCAGCTAAACCATGATTCACCATGTAGCTCTTCTCCTCGCTTTAATAACTCAGTGAATAACTGGTCCATGTGAGGGTCTTCATTAAAACAAATTAAACTCAGCCAATCGTTACAAAATTAAGAAAACTGCACATAAGGGTATTTGTTTTGCTCGCTTCAGACAAATCCAGCTCCAGCAATTCAGTGTTACGGGCAGAGTCAATTGTTTTGAAGTGACTGCCGGCAGTTGTCCTCTACTTCACAGCGAGTGAAATGGAAAATTTGCGTACAGAAAGTTATTTCTTATAAAGAACAGAAACTTTCACAGTGCAGTGGAAAACAAAACTATGTAATTAAAAGTGAAGAAAACTCTGACTACTTATAGTATTTGAGCAACAGAAAAATGATTCTTTTCTTCTAGGGTAAGTTTACTGAACTTCTACCGGTATTTCCGAGAAAGTTTTAGGGCGAACAAAATGGTTCTTTGACTGAAGAGAAGGATAAAGCTGGTTCTACAAAGGGAATAAATCTGGGCATGTGAAAAAGTATTTACTAATTTAAAAAAAGAGTGGGTTTTAGTTCAGCCCGGCGAAAGAAGGCGAAATCAACTCACAAATAAATCGAATGAACAATCAAAAAAATACTCGCCTCTTTGGAAATGTTCAAAACTCTTTATTCCACCTCACACTGACGGAATGATCCGTTTTTCCTTTAACATTGGTTGTTCCGAGTCCAAAGTAATTTTCAAGTGACGAAAAACAAAAACCACACAAAAGTAAAAAGGCTTTTCGAGGAGCAAACGTTCACACCTTGTTCATTTCATTCAGTCTTAGTCAGAACTCTCTCAGTGACAAACAAACAAACTGACGAACGACTGTCGAACACAGTCAACACACAGAAAAGCCCGCCTTGAGCCTGCGATAAAGGATGCGCAGAAGCGTTGCGCAGAACGTTTTTCCGCCCTGAAGCCTTTGTTAGAGTTGTCACCCCCCGTAAATACGGTAAAACATTTGATTATATAGACACGAGTGTTTTACTGGAAAATATACCACTCGTAAAATTCATAAAAAGTACATCTGGGACCCGAGTGGTTTATTTTCCATAATCTCACACGTGAGTTTATCGATGACGTAATTTCGGTCATTTCCCTCCATTATTTTATCGATGTCTGTTTGTCTATATAATAAAAAGGACATTACACGGCGGCTTGAAGATATGAATTTTATTTTCTCGTCGCAAAAACAATATTTTACTCACTTGCTGCGCTCGTTCGCAAAATATTGTTTTGCCCCACGAAAATAAAATTCATATCTTTGCTTTGTGTAATATCCTCTATGTATTTTTTGAAAGAGCCCCGCGGCGCTTATTGATTTTCGACTTAAAAGATGCCAAGGTTATTCGGAGGTTGACGTGCTAAATTATGGGGTAAGATTTCTGTGTAACCCGTTACATTTATTATGCATGTATGTTTCCGCTCGATCTATTGATATCATCTATTTGTGTGAAATGTATGAAATTGCTGCTTGTATAATAAATGTATGAGTTTATACGGAAATTCTACCACTTATAGAATTTCTGTGGTTTTGTGGGCCCCACTTGCGCTGAAAACTCTTCTCGGAGAAAGTTCTCCTGCACAAGCCAAACATGTACGGCGAAAAGTCGAGGTTGCGGGTAAAACTCTTCGTATAAGAAGATCACGAAAGCAGCGCGTGATTGTTGCTTACAAAATTATTTCTGGTGCCCAATCACAGACAAGTATTCGAATAAGTCGTGGAACTGGTTCTTTTAGAGTAGCATTCCAGGGGCTCTCTCGCCAGTTCTTGAAAGCTCAGTTTCGCCGCCGTTTCTCCTGACGTAACTGGGTCCTCTGCAAGCGATACTTGGAAGTAGGTAATATTAAAGGCTTCTAACGTGGCATGTAATCATAAACTTATTATCGAGACTGGAAGATATAACCTAACTCCTCAAGACAAAAGATTATGCCCTGTTTGTCATTCCAATGAAATTGAAGATGAAATTCACTTTCTCTGCTATTGCCCAAAGTATTTAAAACTTAGAAGTCATCTCCGTAATTTTCAGCAGCTATCTTACTCGGACCTGGTGATTAAATCGAGCGATGAACATATTTATCTTAATTAACGACTGACGAATTATATCTCATTATTGAATAATTTTCGCGCCGTGTACTGTCATGTAAGAATAATGTCACTTGATTATCTGTTATTAATATCATAATTATTTATCTTTTCGTTCTTATCTTACGTACCTTTTGCAATACTGTAAATAATTATAGTCATGCAAATAAAGGTTATTGTTGCTGTTGTTGTTGTTTTTGGATCGAAAAAAACAGCTTACAACAGCAAAACAGTAATCATTGTTATGATATAAGCAGTGGTAATTAACCTTAATATTCAGTGATAATAATGACGAGTCTGTAAAAACC